TCTGAAAAAAAGACGGGCAATTTTTCAAAAGCACTCAATGGTGTCCAACTGAGCCCAATTAAATTTAGTTTGGCCAGTGGTAAATGTTTGTGAAAATCCCCTGCTAAAGTCTCACATATTAATGAAAAGCAGACACAGAGGGTATGTAAATGCAGACAAATGAGAAACAAACAGCTATGGTCAGCCGTGGCATCATTTCCTTGACTGTGGAGTCAAACAGGGTCAAGCTGAGTCAAACTGAAATGCACGCGTTAGGCGTGTGAGTGATCTCAGCAGCTCTGGGGAGAATATTCATGGACTTAAAGCTCAGCAAAGCTGGAAGCTACAGCTGAACAACAGCTCTAACCAACCCCGTCTTCTTAGCCCTAGGAAACCTGCTTTTACTTATATTCTCAAGGGCACAGCAAGTATATAATGTTGAATAAACAAACACAAATTACTCAAAATAACATGTACTGGAAGTGAAAATTCCATGTGGTCTTACCCAACAGTGGAAATAACATCCAGAGAGGACTGTTTATCTCAGTTTAAACTCATGAACCTGAAATGTATCCTAGGAAACAACTGACAACATAGGGCAGGAAACAAAAGGAGAGAGAAACAGGAAAATGTTATAATTTCATCGTTCTCTGTAGGAGACAAGATAGCATGCCAATATTTCAGACCAAGTTCAACATATGTTTAAGAAACCTTTTCCCCTGTAGTCAAATGCCAAAGTTCATGAGCAAAAAGAAGGAGGTACAATTTTATAATTAGGTCAGATCCACCTGAGTTTGTCAGAGCAAAGAAATCAAATCCAAGCTGAATACCGTAAGTGACAAAAAGAGCCACTGGGAAAATAATTCAGAAAAATAAATGGTTTTTGTTAATAAAATGATGATTTCGAAAGTCCCATAACCTTCTTCTTCCCACTCTACAAATAAAAGAATTGCCACTCGGAATGCTTCTATCCTTAATAAACTTGTGAGCTAAGAGCTTTCCTCAACAAACAGGTTGTTAGACAAGTAAATTAATACTTAAAAGAACAGAAAAATAAGTACTAACAGGTTTCCTACCAAGAGAAAAAATGTCTCTGTGATTCAATTCAGTTCACCGACAGGCAAACCAGTACACACCACTATTGTTACACCCACTTTTCCATACCTTGCAGTAAAATAGTTTATTCTCCAAGATAATTATTTTTGACACTTTCACTGTTTATACGGGAAACTGAGAAACTGTTAATTGAAATTAAAAAAACCTGAGTCACTGTTTCCAGCAATTTTTGCCAATGTTTTGATCTGTGTCAATCCGAGCTTAATTATTATGTTTTCTTTAAAGAAAGAAACAAAACTTTGTCTTTGAATTTGGTCCCGTACAAATGCTGTGCTCTTTAGACAAAGCGTACCTAAACAGGGTTGAAAGTTTGCTTAATGAACTGTGGACTAGAGACCAGTGGTGAAAATAATGAGAGGGAAAAAATACATCTTTTTTGAGGAGGATGTGAAAAGACTTTAAAGGCTTTCAGCGGATATGATTAGCTATGATACACAGCCTATCGCTAATGATGCTGCCAAAGTCAGCGTCTATCAGCTATGAGAGGGAAGTCATCTGGAAAGCTAACAGAGTGTCATAGGCAAAGGGCAGGCTGTGCATTCTGTGGCAAGCTATGCTTTCTTCTGGTATCTGCTGTATAAATATGTGTCGTGAGGAACTCGTCTGCTCTTGTAAACATGCTCTGTTATTCAGCAGAAATTCTACCGTCATTTTACCACTCATGGACAAACTGGCCTTGGCAGAAACACGTGAAGTCATCAGCAGACTGTAGGATAGCAGAGACACAAGGAAAGATTTCACCACACATTTTCCAAGCCAGCAATTGGTTACTAGGTTGTACATATAAAGAAAAGAGAAACTTCATATCCAAAAGCAAAAGGTTACACAGTCGTTCTGAATGTGCATGAAATAACCGAGGACTATCTGTCTTGAGAAGTTATCTGCATGGCAATTACAAATGGCCCTTGACAGAGCACCTAGTTAACATACACAGTGACCTTCTAGCTAGGAAAAGATGAAAATACATTGCTATGTAAAACTGGGTTAATGTATGGCAAAATATGTTTAGAATCTACAGTAATTTGTATAGAAAATAGAGCACACACATTAACAAATTCTATACCAGTGTCATTATTAAACTTGGGAGGAAATAAAGCCTTCCTACACTACAACAGATTACTTTCTTTTCATTTTATATTTTTTCTACTTTTTTCTCTTTCTCCTTTTTCCTCTCCCAAATCAAGATAGATCCATGAGCTGAGAGAAACTGTTCACAAAACAAGAGGCAGGCAGTCCCACTCCCAAAGTTTTCCTGCTCTTGGTGGTGGCAGTACTCTTCCAGTGAGAGAGAAACTCGTCTTTAAGCCCTTATAAATCAGGCAGACAGAGAAATCTGAACTTGTCCCTATCTCGAAACTCTTGTTTATTTCCAAAAGTTTCCATATTTTCAGCTTTGCTAGAGACTTTCAAACTTTTTTTGATCTACAGGCCCCTGAGTATTTTTTCAGTCTCCTCCAACAGAGGAGGACCCACCAATAAATGACTTAGTTTAGCAGATCAGCAATTTCTAAATCAACACATAATAAAAAGGAGAGCTCCCAACTGTCTCTCACAACCACTGCTGGTTTCCTAAACTTCCCCAGTGCCAGCGTGTGTTAGCATAGTTGCCTTGCCTTTGCTGCTCCCCATGAGTGTATCAGAGAGTGTGCTGCAGCGGGATGTCTTGAGCCATCATCTCATGGAAGCAGATGAGAGAAATTGAGAAATTGCAAATGAGGTGCCTTTCTCTCCTCTTTCTCTTTTCCTGTGGGATCCGTACTGTAAGACAGCACGAAGATGCATTAATTGAGATAGAGGATTGTTAAGCAAGTAGAGATGCTGGTGGTCATCATCATAGAATCATAGAATGACCTTTCTGAGTTGAAAAAGACCATAATGATCATCTGGTTTCAACTCCCCTGCCATGGGCAGAGTTGCCAACCACTACACCAGGCTGCCCAGAGCCACAGTGGTCTTAGTTGTGACTGTGTTCTTACCAGAAAAGGAGACCCTCTGTTTCTCCATGCTTTCATCCTCTACTTGCTCTACTTGCTCTTGCATCAGCTTTGGACTCTGCATGATTACCCTTGGTGAGCCGATTCAGATCGTTAAGTAAGAGGAAAACTGAGGCTTGGCAGAAACACATTCAACCTTTTGTCTTAGCTTCTTCTGTAAAGCGGTTGCCCATCTGCCCTAGGTCCTTGCTTCTCTGCTTGTCCATATGAAGTGGTTCCCAATGCAAAGCCAAATCTTTCTTGAAGGAAACTGAGCCAATCACTCTTGGTCCTACTTGTGATGGATACGGAGAATGCAATCATCACAGTTATTGCTGTATCAGCATCTTAAGTCTTTAAAAGTCAATCTCATTTTCCTTTTCTCTCAAGATTCAATAATGTGTTTCTACTCGTCTTTGGGCTGCTTTCCCACTCATGTGTTCTCTTGTCATTTGCGCTGTTCTTTCTCTGGGTGTGTTCCAAATTATTTGCCCCTGTCAAAATGGGGTGTCCTTGATGAGAGGTAGAATGAAAGCCAGAATCTCATCTGTGTCAAATAGAGTAGAACAGTATCTTCCCAGCTCTTACACACAACATTCCTGTTAATATTGTCCCAGAGCATCATATACTTTTTCTATTAAAGGAGCCTCATACTTGTGAATTGTGTTTATTTAGTGTTTACTCTGAGAACAAAAAGCCCCAAACTGAAGAAATAAGTATGTAAAATAACCCTTACCTGAAAACTGTTTGCTTTAACCAAGGATTATTTCACCAGGTTACTAGTACTAAATTCTTCTCAGTACAGCAAAAATACAAGCAGGAGCAACCAGCTTTTAGTTGTTAAAAGTGTTTAAATTAATTAAAGGACTGGCAAGGACATTTCTTGTTACCCAAAGGAATTTTGTAGGCTGTTACATGTCAGATGAAAACCAGAACTTATATCCACTTTGCAAAATGGATAAATCCACCATGAATGGCTAAAGCCTAATTGTGAGGATGAAGTTGTTTACTATCACAGCCAAAACATAACTACCATTATGATGGTGGTATGCACTCTAATGCATAGATTTTGGAGTTACAGACAGTTACAGGGACCATATATGAAATAGAGTGTATGCACTGGAGGCATTTTTCTGGTTAAATTAGTGAAGGAATAATATGTACTGATACAACTAGACCTCTCCCATCAACTATCAGGGTCGTAGAGCTGAAGAATATCTTTGTGAAGCAAAACAGAAGAAAATATTGGTGCCAATAAGTGAGAGAAACTGGAACATCAAGTAAATCTTTTCTCTCTGTTTTCTCTGAGAAATGATAACTGAGACAGATGGGTTGTTTTGGTAGTGTGACAACCAGGTATGAATAGCAACTCCTGGGGGTGCACTGGGGGTCTCGAGGGAGTGCGTACAGTCAGCTGTTACTTGGCAGCGACAGACAAAAATGGATGGCTGCCTCTTAAAGAAATAGATAAAGAGCATTTTCATCCATGCTGTACACGTGTGCATTTAGAGATCAGTGTGCATCTAAAGAATTTCATGCGTATTTGCGGTATCTCATACTACATATTGCAATAAATTTTGGTACCATACTACCATATCTTATACTCAGAACAGTTTTTGACAAACATAAACATTGAAAGTAATAGGACCACTTCCTTTGGACAAGAAGAAACATCGTGCTATGCATCCAGCAGGTTGTGACTTCACAAGGGAAACAAAAAATTACTAGTTCAGTGTTTTTCTTTTTTTTTTTTCCCCTCTATTTTTTAAACCTGTGCATCTTTCTCTGCTATCCTGCTCTCCTCCCATTAACTATCAATGACTTTGCAATAGTTTCTCCTGTCAAACCATACCCTTTGCCTACATGCCAGCTCTTGAGCTTTGTGAGCAGCGCTGCAACCATTCTGTGACGCACTCTTTTTTTTCTCTGCAGCACACGGCTGTATTACCACTTGCTCTTCTGGAAATCCTTGCCACACCTCATCGCTACCCAGCAAAGAAGAAGGGACTGTTCCTGTTAGGATGTGCCTCTTTTCTTTATGTCAGTTGGTAAGAACCACGTACTTTAAAACATGTACTTCAAGTGATTTGCTTTGTACAACAAGACCACACTCTACACATATGCTAAGTTCCCCCTCAGACAACAATCTGGTCTGTGGATAAGCCATTTAAACACCAGGTGAGGCTCACAAAGATCATTTCCAGATGCAGGCAGAGTGGGTTTCTTCCAACTAAGTACAGCTCCTGAGGCTGCACCTGGTATCCCCTGCTCTTCCATAGCCTCTTTTAAAGAAGATCCTACATTATCAGAAACGTCAACTCTCAAAGTCCAGGAGCCAGGGGAGCAGGAAAGGAGCAGACCTCAGTTTTATATCTCGCAGGGGCACGAGACTGGATTTAGAAAGTTAGAAAATGATACTTGGAGGCAGGTGCAAAGTGATGGGTACTGAGGAGGCATCTGTCCCACCACCACCTCCATCTCCACTGGTGGATACCATCTACATTGCCAGCAGTGTGCCCAATTTTATCACCACCTTGTCTGAGAGGGATCCTGAGAAAACGAAGGCCATCAACACCCTGTCCGCAGCCTTCCACCCACCTCCTCTATGTGCTGCACACCCCTGGAGCTGTGTTTGCATCTGTTCCTGCTCATAGCATCCAGGTTATGGGCAGCTGCTAACATTTCAGATCACTCTGAGACTCAGCTCTGGAGTGGATCTGCATAGTTTCATGGTACGCTCACCCAAAGTTTTCTGAGAAGCAGCTGGAACCACAGAGGGATCCAGCCTTCCCACTTCCACCCACCCATTAGATGAGAGTAACCTCAGCCCACTGTTTGAAATACAGGAACAGAAAATAAGCGGCACAGATGAAACACTCCCGTGATGTGAGACCCATAAGGAGCCGCTTTGGAAGCAGCAGACTTTAGCTCTATGTTATGCAACCCAGTTTGGAGCCATTTATCCTAATCCGGCCCACAGCCTAATACTATTACAGCTGTGAGAGACGTGTTTCCCTGCCAAGTCCTTTCCAGTCAGTCCTGCCTGATGCCCATGAGGAAGCCTGAAGCACACAGGACTACCAGCCCCCCGGCTCCCCAGCGAACGCTCTGCCTCAGCCTTGAAGGCCACAGGTGGATGCAGAAGCAAACTGCTGTATGCCATGCCCATAGGACAACCTTTCCTGCCCCTGATTTCCAGCCAGGGAATAATAATAATGAGGGCAAGCTTTCACGGAAATTCAGTTCAGTCAGAAATTGGTCAGACTGCCTGTTTCACTCCTTCTCATATCTTCTCTGAATTGGCCTTGCATGGTGCTGGGCTCCTTGTTGTGCTTGTCCCCTGTGGCCCAGGGTCCTGGTACCTGGATTCAAGCTTCTTAGGAGTACAGTGCTGTTGCTTTCTCTCCTTCTGAGACAGTGAGGAACCTCCCATCTGCCTTTCTTGTTCCTGAAGCCAGAGACAAAAGCTTCCAACTAACAGAAGAGGTTTTCAGTCTGTGTACTTTACATGTGCACATATTTTACTGTTGGTGCTGCAACCTGCTGATTAAATAGCCCCATTTGGGTGCCTTATGTTTCACAAGCAACACAGAGTGCTCCCTTAAAGCCTTTTTTTGAGTTGTCACTGTTGTCATCACACTGTCCGTCCTCTAGTATCGATGGGTTGAGAGCTGCCAGGTCCCTCCAAGGAGTGAGAAATCAAGCAGTTGGTGACTTTTTGCACCAAATACTTGCCTCTGATAGCTTTGAGTACCCATAGGATTAAAAAGAAAAGGCAGCTTCCAGCTATAGGTCATCCGGGTAAAGAGAACTGCTCAGTATGTTAATTCTTGCAGGGATGGATCTTGCATCTCTTGCCTTATTCTTGGAATCACCACAGTGAAAGCCATGATGAATATATAAATTTCAGAACTGTCATTTTATATCTTGGAAAGGAGGTAACAATAGCGACTTCTTTCCCATCTCAGTGGCAATATCAATTTAGCAATAAAGATCAGGATAAAATAAATCTTACTCCTCACAACTGTGCATGTGTTTTTGGAGAAAAGATCGAACTACCAATGTAAGGGAATATAAATCATTGTAGATTGCACACCATCTATAAAGACCTAAACTACAAAAAAAAAAAAAAAAAATCAAATCTAGAAAGTGATGGCTTTCTTAAAATATGCCCATATTTCATCTTTGTTAGGAATCAGAATGTTTTTCTTTTACTGTATGCTCATCTTCAGTTCATAACCTTTTAATTTTGCATTAACCACCACCTCAGAAAACTCATATGTGGCCAATATGTTCTCCTCCTTTTTGGATCTTCCCATTCAACAATTTCCTAGGGAAACATTTTTATTTTTCCTCCAGTGAATGCAGAGCTCCCATTAACTGTAATGGACAGATAACAAAAGGAGAGAGTAAACCTCTCCCTTGCATCAAACTGCCTTATCAGGCTGCTGCACATCACTTTCCTCCATTATCTACATGCTGTACACAGTCTCACAGCAGTTTGGCAACTTTGTTTATACCCAGGTTGTTTTCTCAGTCTATCTCCTCCATAATTCTGGGCATTGTATAGTTCTAAATTATCACTGTAAAAGCTTGCTAAGCATTGAAATTTGGTGTAACTAAATGTTCAGAATAATTAACTTCTGAACACTGCATGTATGTTTAACAACTGATTGCCCACAAGAAAGAGGCAACGTGCGTTTGCAAATTTTACGAAGTCCCTAGCAAAATAAAATAAAATAAAATAAAAATCTGTCGACCATTCTGTAGTCAAAATGAATAAGCTCATGAACTTGAAGGTATGTCCCAAGATAAAAACCCAGTTACACACAGCTTCCGTCAGGTCAGAAAACTGAAAGCTCTTTAGTGCTTCTGAACAGTCGAGTAATTTTTTAAGTTCAAAATTTCCAGTTGAAGTGCTTCCTATCAGGCACTCCAGCCAGCTAAATTAGATCAAGATAATCTAGTTCCTCAATATATAAAGGCATTTTTTCACTCTGTTTTACTGTTTGAGTTGAATTAAGAAAACAGCAGCCCCAGTACAGTGAAGAATGCATATGGACATCTGTATTGCACAGGCTCCAGTTAGAACCTGGTCTTTGACATCCCTACTCATCTTTCCCCAGCCTTTGCACAGGCCTTTTTCTCTTTATGGCTGTGTTGCAGCCCAGGTTGTCTGATAAGAGAACCTCTCTCGAATCTGGAAAACCATAGAATCATAGAATCGTTCGAGTTAGAAAAGATCCTTAAAGGTCATCTAGTCCAATTCTCCTTCATTGAACAGGGGCATCAGGTTGCTCAGAGCCCTGTCCGGCCTGACCTTGAATGCCTCCAGGAATGGGACATCCATCACTTCTGTGGTCAAATGAATCTGCACATTTCACATCTTCATGCAAAGACAGCTAACCCTCTTCATCTCTCTAATCTACCTCTTCCTTTTCTACTTGGAGAAACAAGAAGCCATCCTTTCAGCCACGTTTTATTCCTCAGCACTCTCTTGTGTCTTAGTTCTGTGACATGCTGGTGGGACAACCTGTTTCCATTTCTCTCGCTGAGGCATGATGCCCCCAGCAAGGCAGGGCACCTTCAGAGAGTGTCATGCTGTTCCCATGTCAGCACTGGTAATGGGAAGTACTCAACGGGTGTATTCTCCAGTCAGTAATTAAATCTTTTTAGGATTCTTTTGTCCCAGATGACCATTTTAGGTAAGTTCAGCCCTACACTATAAGGGCACAGCCAAACAGAAATCACCGGAGACCTGCCATATATTTTATATTCTTTACATATTCCATTCAAATATATATCTAGACACCATTTTTATGTTCTTAAATCTAGGCACTTGCTTCCATCCACTCTTACGAGCTGTAAGTACTGGAATAAATAGTATTAGTGAACTGGCAGCAGCCACATGTCTCCTCTGAAGAAAAGAAAAAGGCAGAGAGGGCCTGCATCAGACAGTCATTCTCTTTTTCATTCTTTCCATCTTCCAAACAAGTACCTAGCAATTGGTTCTGGAACAAAAGAGCAAAGTGAGCACATCTCTTTCCTACCCATTTGTTCCTCCTCTCCTAATTTTGGACTTAAGAGAACAGTCCATGACCTGTCATCTCCTGAAACCTCTCTTCTTGCTTTCTAAAACAGCATTCAACATCAGCAGGACAGAAAGAATGAGAAACAGCACCTCTATCACCACAGACCCTTGGATTGTGGATAGAGACCAAAAAGTCACAGTAAAAGAGCAAACACCTATGGAGGAGCGTATTTGAACAAGCCTCATTTCTATACTGAAGTGCACACCTGTTTTTCTGAGCATTTTACTATTTTACTGTTGTTTTACTGTTTTAATAGCCAATGTCACCAAGGTGACAGCAGAACATTGTGTGTATTTCAAGCTGCACCAAAATCCATCTAATTTAGCAGTGATTCAAGTGTGCTACACAGCAAATAGCCTAAATATTGAGGAGATGCATCAACAGCTGAGCTAATCTTTTTTGTATCAATGCTGTTTTGATAACGTGGCCCTTTAGAAGCCAGAAATCAACAAGTGATTCTTCTAACTGAATGACCCTAACCAAATGTTGTTTCTCCTCTCCCCCAGGGTCCTGTGGATTTATTTTGTAACAGGAGAGTGGGTGTACCCTCTCTTTGCTTCATTCAGCCCAGCTGGGCTAGGAGCCTTTTTCATCAGTAGCCTTGCCATCGTCGTCTGTTTCTACAATTTTGGAGAGTTCCTAAACCGTATGATATGGGGTCAGTCCAATTTTTTTATTTTTTATTTCTATCCGTACAAAAAAAATAAAGAATTCCTATTACTACCAAGGCAGGTGGAGAGAGGGACACACATACATTGGGGCTGAGGGTGACTTTTGGATAGAGATTGCCAGGTCCTAAGTATTTAGTAACAAACAGGACAAACCAGAAGATTGCCAACTCTACCAAACAAAAACAAATGTCTGGGCCAGTTCTCTCCAATGTGGCTCGAGAAGAGCCTCTCACCAGCATAATCACTGTATTTTGAATGCCTTCTGAAACGGTGGTTCAGAAAAGCAAAATAGCTCTGCTGCTCTAAACTCCCTTTCCTATATCGCGTGGTGTTTATCAGACTCAGGAATGGTTTACTAACAATTTATAGGAAGGCATTAGTCTATCCAAGTGAAAGCTCTGTGAATGCAGCAGCACTTTGAGAAGTTTTAATGGGCTGCTGAAACATCTCCCTTTGGCTTCAGTAGTGGCATGATCAGTAATGCTTTAAAGAAAATAAAAGTCAACCTTACTCGGATAAATGAGCAGTTAGGAAAAACAATGTCTCTTAGAAGGACAACACTGGAGGAGGAAAGAGAACTGATGAAGCATGAGAGTCTCGTATGGGACTTTATTATTATTAATTATTTTTCCTTCTGGTTGCCTCTTTCTCATTCAAGATTAAGTTTTTGAGGATGAAAGCGTTTCTGTCAAGAAAACGTGTGTATTTTATTTAGGACAAATGTGTGAACATTTGCAATTTCTTAAACTAGATTTCTGATGAAAGAGAAAGCCCTGCAGAAACACCTCTGAAAGTAAATAAGACAACCTCCCTCTGTTCTCAGGGAGCATTTGATGCCTGATCCATTTTGTGAAGTCTCACATGCCTGTCAAGCCAAAGTGGAGTGTCTGTAGCTAGTCTCTCACCAGCCGTACCCAGCTACCTCAGAGCAGCAGATTGAATTTCAAATGTGCTGAATAACCAAGTTCAGTGGTTCATACCTTTGCAAACAAGACACTTGCTCTACATACCAAGTTTGGAAATTTTGGATGAATTTTATTCTTGCATAAATACGATGCATGATGAGGATTCTGAGTAACTGAAAACAGATCTGCAGGCACTTTGCACTAGCTTTGCTTAAAGAGGCATGGCATAAATAGCAACCATTACTATGAGTAACTTCTGACCTCTTTGTTTAATCAAAGACCACGCCACAACCACCACAAGACAGCTTAGGTCTCATGTTAGATATCAGGTCTTATATTAGTTAAGAATCAGATTTTTTTCATCAACGAGTAGGTAGTAACAATTTCAGGTCTAGAGTGTGTGCTAATGTAACTGCAGATAATATATATGTGTGCAGCATACGTGATAATTCTCTGTTGATGTCTGATGTGCTCTCACAATCCATGAAGGCCCTCTCCATGTGCTGGATCTGTCTCTCCATTTATATTTTTCGCTTTCTCCTTATTTCTTTAAATGCATCCTCAGCTGCTTACCTCCAGGACTGATGGCATTCCCTAGATTTACAGCACACTGATACAAAAAGCTGCAAGCTACACCCCAATAGCTAGTCCCTCTGTGGTATCTGAGCCTGCAGTATGATTATATGGGGACTTTGGGAGCGATAACATCTCAATGAGCTCCTGCCCACCACCTCCAACTCTTACTCCACCACACATGCCTGTTTCTTGTGAGCAGGGGTTGTTTTTAACACAGATCATTTTGCCGATCCATTTCCCAGCTGTGTCCACCCAAGAGAGAGGCAGGACTTCCTTAAGCCGGTATTGATAACAAGATCCCAATAGTGTTGAAACACAGCCAGAGGGAAGGTATTCCAAATTACAGTGTGCCAGAGTCTTAATGTATTCCTGACTGAAACAAATCTGCTCAGTGCTGCCAGAGTAAAAACAGCTGCAAATAGAATGAAGATGCAATTCCAACATACCTTTCTTCTTGCAGCAAAAATGCCTCCACATGTTTTTTTTTTTTTCCCATCCTACCCTTTCCCATCTCACCTTCTCATCACAGTAAGAGATGATACAGTTAAAATAAGCCAGTGGAAAGAAACACACACACATGAAACAAAACCAAAACAAAACAAAAACCAAACCAACAAAGCAAAGCAATTTGCACTGGGAATGGACAAAACCTGCCTGGGCTGCTGCTGGCTGAGACTGTGCCTAGAGCAATGGAGATAAGCTGTCCTTATTTGAAGAGGCAAGAAGTGATTAACAAATAGCTCAGTGAGAGCATCACACCTGGTTTCCTGGAGCACTTGCATCCTGGGGAGAACTGTAGGCAGCAAATGAAGCTTGTCCCACAGCACTGTGCTCCATAAGGATTCTGCCACGTTCCTCTGTAGCTTCAGGCCAGCACCACTTCTGCCAAAACAAAGAGCATCAGCTACGTAAATGTTTACTGTTTTTTCCACCCATAAATGTATATTTAGCTCCAAATTATTCCGAAGTCCAAGGATAGCAACTTTCAGCTTAGGGCATGTCATTTCAAAGCTATGTCCTGTGCTCCACCAGAAAGATGCAGCATCATTTCTGCGAGCTAAAAATGCAGGCTGTTTAATAATATAACCTTGTTTTTTTTCCTTTTCAGAACAGCCCAAAGATACCAGATCCTAAATTTGTTTTATTATTTATAGACAAACTGCCTCATATAGTATTAGAGGCTTTAAAAATGTATTATTTCTCACTTGCCTTTCCCTCCAGTCGCACAGTTGGATTCATGGTAACTAAGGCAACCCAGCTGCACAGGCCGAGAGGCACAGAAAATAGTACCAAGTAATGACTTTTTTTTTTGTTGCTTCAAATCCCAGAGTTTCTGGAGTACTAGACAATGTTGAGTAATACAGAAACTCCAAAGAGGATAATTGGAAACAATGGGCTGATTCTTTCATTGCCATACATTTGCCTCAGCCCGAGAATTTGGCTGCAGGGCCAGGGTGCCTAAGATGAACCGTATGATAACTTCTCTCGTTCCTGATGGGTAGGAAACATCACGCAGGCAACTTTGATCTGCAAAACTAGAAGCCCGAACAGCAAAAGCCAAGCAAGCTTCCCTCAGGTTTTGCTCCAGCTGAGACAAACAGATCCTCAGGATCAAAGTTCTCCATTGCAGACAAAGCAACGTTTCAGATGAGGTCTCTGGCATCAGCGTTTGAAGATGCAGAGGATTCATTTGCCTTTTGTCTAGCAGGTCTGATAAAACGTTCAGCAGCTGTTTCATTTTCATGTTGTGAAGTGCAGGTGAACAGGAGCAATAGGTGAGCAACTAGCAACAGCCTCAGGCGTAGATGAATGTGCTCTTACAGAACCTGTAGGAGCTCCTGAATGCTTTGGAAAGCTTTAGCTGAAATACATTCACCCAAGGCTAAGCTAAAATTAGAGGGCAATCTTCTCGTTAACATATTTTCCCTCTTCTTTTTGAAGCACCTCTGTGCAAAATATATTTTACAGAACCATATAACTTGTTTTAGGAGCTGGCTTGTTTTCCCTGGCTTTTATTTTTGTTCTTATGTGCTTGTGAAGCCAAGCTCCCTTAATACCGAGTGCTCAGCTATTGGGATACACAGCCTGTGTGGTGGCAGAGGAACCTGCACAATACAAATACCTCTATACAAATGAAGTCTTGACACCTCCTGAGCAGCTACTGAGTTGAGATTGCAGAAACCCAAGTGGCAAATGGAGGGGTACAAAGCAAAGCTGTGTGGGTTGAGAAGTCATCCTACCGTTGTGCTGGCACAGGCTCACAAACAGCAGCTTTATTAAGAACCCTAAAATGCTGATGCTCTGCAGGTGATTGTCAGCATAGAGACAGAACCCACCCTTCGTTATGACAGTCCTCTTCTTTCTGTAGGGTCTAGCAGGGATTTTTAAACAGAGCTTCTTTTCTAGAATACATCTTCATTTGTTCTATCAAGAGCATTTGTTCTATCGAGCCTGTAGGACAGGAGAGTAACAGTCTGAGGTATATCCATTTATTTCAGTGAACGAATAATGTTTTTGTCTGCAGTCTCACAGTATTGCCAGTGACGAATGGGACTCGTGTTTAAGAGGGTTTAACAGGCCAGAGTTTGCAAGCCACGTCTGAATACCCACTTTTGCCTCATTCATTCATCCTAGTTATGCCACAGACTCGTGATGGCATATTTATATCTGTCATACTTGCCACTCCCCCGAGCTGCAGATTACCCCTTGGTACAGGAGTTCAGCTGTTTAAAGGGAACCCGCACCATCTGTCACATGCCCTGGTGGTGCTGACAGGTTTATCTGATGATCTGCAGGGGAGAGAGGGACACACAGGCGGAAGCTCTGGCAACCCCAGGCTTACAATTTCATCACTGGAGGGCAGATACAAACAGGTGTTTGCTAATATGCTGTCTCTGGCCCCATAGGCTGGTCTGTTATTCCCTGCAGTTATTCCCTGTTATTCCCTGGTCAGCACTAAATGCTCACAGAATCGTTTAGGAAGGAAGAAATGCCAGGACTTTGTTACTTATCAGGTCAGTCACCACATGCTGTGCAGGCTGGAGATAAATACAACCCAGCAATTACAGTGTTTCAGGCCCTCTGAGGACTGCAGACAAATACAGCACCTTTAAAAAGGGGCTCCCTGTAAGTGATCATCAGCACAGAGGAACAGGGGCTGAGACAGTGCTTCAGGTGATAAAAGTACCCCAACATACTTGGTTATTGCCATGCTGAGTGCCCATGGCAACACAGCTGCTCTCAAAAAGCCGTGGTTCAGCAGTAAGTCCTGTGCCATCCTACAGATATCCCAGCTGCTGCCTTTTCAGAGATGCTTTATTTTGAAAGCTTCTCACATATTGTTATAGCAAACCAGGCTGCTTGGTGGCAGACACTTTTTCCACTAGTGAAGCACCACTATTCCCAACCAAGGACGTGGTCCTTGGCAGATGAGAAGTCCCTCCTGCAGAAACTGAGTAATCCCTTACTTGCCAGGGACATCCCAACCTCCTTTG